CCGGGGACCCATATTAAGCTCTTTTGCAAGTATACGTATAAATGGGCGTCACCCAGAGTCTGCAACACAGCGTCTGAATGACGCTTGTGCGACTCTATTGCGCTCAGGTCGTCCTCCGCCCTACTATGCACGGAATACATCGTCAAAGTAATGGGGGGTGTAGGCACGGTGCTAACGCATACCACTCGGTTGAATGTTGCTGGAGCGTTTTTCAACCCTTGTGGCATCACAAGCCACTCCCACAGCATACCGCTTGGGGTGCTTACTGCCGTTTTGGCTACATCGGTATCTCTCATGAGAACCTGATAGTAGCCATCCTTTAGATCCAACGCGGAAAAGATAGTTGACTTTCCCATGGAATTCAACAAGACATCTTTCCACGAGATCGGTGTTTGAGCCGGAATGGTGGCCGTGTTCAGCTTATTACAAGCATGAACCACGCGCCATCCACCTGTTTCTTTACGCACACAAAAGTTCGGGCTGCAGTGAGGCGACTTGCTCTCACTTACATGTCCCCTCTTGGCTCGCTTGTCGAAGAACTCATCGATTTAATCGACTTGTTCCTTCGGCAACGGCCATTGCCTGGTCACACAATACTTGGTGCCAGGCTCCAGGCTCCAGGTCAATCTCGTGCCTGATGCCCCTATCGGCCGGTAGGCGGCTCGGCACTTCAGCTGGAAACACATCACGGTGTTTCCACAGAGCATCATAGAACGGGATGTCCTACAAGACATCCCAGTCTTGAGAAGCAAACCGTTTCTTCTTTTCAGTTTCCAAGATGATCTCATCCATTGTGGACGACGAGCAACAGTCTACCACGTTCTTTTCTGGAGCTACAGTAGTGCGACTATCCGTGGATCTCTATTTCCTTAAGTTCGGACAGGAACAGATCCCACGCCATGTCCGAGAGATTTACTATCTCCTCGGCAGATGCCAAAACAAGTTGGAGCACCTCAACTGAGGATTCCTCGGCATCTTTTCTTCGACGACCTCGAACAACTCGTTCGTAGTTCCGTTCTCTTCGACCGAGACTGATCCAAGGGTCACTTGTGTCGACGTGCCTTGATCGTCTTGATAAGTCTGGTGCTCATTGTTCGATTCATCATCACGACCTTTGACCTGGAAGAAGGTATTAGCCAACGCACTCCTTCCAACCGCATCAGGCTCATGGATCTGTGCCGGTTCTTATGGCGCTTGGCTTCCTGTCAGCTCACCATCAACTGCCACAGGCTCTCGGCTCTGTGCAGGACCATTGAACGCATGACTACCTGCCATCGTCCCATTCACTACACCAGTATCCTCGAGCTGGGTAGGAATATGTGTCGCCTGACTTCCTGTAAGGACACTTCCAACTACTCCAGGCTCAAGGGGCTGGGTAGTAACTGGTGTCGATTGACATACCTTCATCGCACCCTCGACTGTGTTGGCCACAGCATCAGTAACATAAGCCTCTCGCAGGAGCACATCCGTTCCGGTGTCCAGCGTAGAGTTGGCGACGCCATCAATCCATGGTTGGTACTTAGCCAACCAAGGCATGCCTAGGATAAGGTCATACGGACTCTCCATACCTAGCACTGTGAGCTTCTCTTTACAGGAGAAGTCACTGAAACTGAAGGCGAGTTCAACTTGAACTCCCTCCGATTTTACGAGCTCGCCGTTCGCTAAACGAACGATCGCCTCTTCTCGCTTGCCATCCTGGCAAAGCGACTAATAGCTAGCCGGACTCTTTTTCAGAGCCTCGAGTTTAAAATGCTGTGATGCACCCGAATTAACGAGAAGGGCCATCACTTGGTCATAGCCTCGAACTCGAGCGCTATAGACCAAAAGTGTTGAAGTCCGACCTTTCGGTACCTCAGGGACTATGCTACCCATTTGTTCGATCACTCTGAACATAGGGGTAGCTTCAGAGTCTGCGACAGTAGGGCATCCCGCTCCAACTGCGCTCCCACATTTTCCGGCCCATCTTGGGCAGGTGCTGAACCTGTGCGTCGTGCACGCTGGTTTTTCGCACCTCCCTTCGGGTAGGGACCCTTCTTGCTGGCTACCTCAGCACCAGCAGCAAGTTTGACATAGCAGCGAGCCATCATATGGCCGCGCTTGTAGTAGACCACATCTGCATTGCCTAACTCCATTGAAGTGGCATCCGAATTCTCAGACGTTATAATAAGCTGTCGCCGAGGCACTGTTGTAGGATTGCTCCTCAGCCATGGCAATATCAATTGCCTCCTCCATCTTCCATGGCACCTTTCTAAAGAGGGCCTGATGCGATGGGCCGTGCCGTAGTCCGTTCGTGAACGTAGGCACCTTAATGTGTTCCGGTATCGGACCAACAGCAATGGACGCCGACAGCGAACGCATCTCCTGCACATACTCTTGCAGAGATCGTTTCGACTGTCGTGCTTCAAAGAAGCGCGCCTGAAGTAATACTTCATTGTTAATCGGCTGATACATGGCGAGAATCTTTGAGTTAAAGTCGCCCATGATGGAAACGCATCGTCGTTTGCCATAAGCGCAGAGTAATCCCACTCTGACGCTTTGCCACGCAAATTAGACATGTCATCTCTGATGAGCTGCGCCATACCGCATTGCTCCACGACTAAAAGCCAGTGAACAATCGTATGTGGTCAGTCCCATTAAACTTCGGAGGGTCCATACAAATGGGCCTTGGCTGATAAGACCGGGCAGAGAGCGTCTCACCAGTTCTTTTGAGCGCCTCATTAGGTGCCTGCTCACGCAAAAGATCATTCTAAGTCTTACTGATGGACTCATCCACTGCTTGGACGCATTTCTACGCTGTACGATCACAAACGCCTCGAATTGTTCCAATTGAGCCACATGTTGCTCAGAAGGACAATGCAAGAGGTTGGCGAGGGCTTGTTTACCAAGTCCCTGCACCAAATGATCTGCCAACTCCTATGGCGTTCGAAGAGGTGAGAAGAGTCCCCAATCCATACTAAGGGACATTCGTATCCACACGCACGCTCAGAGAGACGGGTCGTGATAAGGACTACAAGTGCTACCAAATGTAGACGGGTCCTTCGAAAGAAGCTGCCAAGTACTACGCAAGCACAAACCTTTGATCAGCGTGAGGAGGCGGTTAGACTGTCTTACCTCCGCGTGCGGTGGTGGTGGTGTTGTTGGCCGGCGCTAAAGCGCAGTACCAACCGTTGCCGGTCGCTTTGGAGCGAACTGCGAAACGAACTGCTAAGACAAGAGATCCACACATCCACTGATGAAAGTTGCTATCTAGTTAAAAGCAGAGACTTTCGTCCCCACAGTATATTCAGTATTCATGAATGGGTATAAAATTTAAGTTACTAGCTCCAACCGAGGTCAGAACGCTCACGATAGGATTCGCATAGCAGCCGCCAGCCATCAAGAAGATACCAAAAGCAGCTTACGACACGCAAAAGCTTATTCAGTTCTCGTGCGCACTGGACAATGTTTAGCGGATTCAAGACTGAGTTCAATAGAAGTTAATTAAATATAAATCTAACTACTGATTGGTTAATTATGCAAAGATCGGATACGCGTCTCTTTAGAACGTATCTCTACGTGCAAGCTAAAAATATATTTAAGCTCGCTGATGACGTCCGTCTGAAGCGTCACCACAACGCCTAGTCCCCACTGGGCGTCATCCCCATTGAATGTGAATCCATCCATGGATATCACATTCACGGGGATGGGTCACGTTAATGTGCCACACCCAAGTGGCAGGCCTAAGGTACCACGTAGCCTGTTAGACCTACTCCTTAAAAATTAAATCATATACTTAGCGGACTCGTGTAGCTATTGGCCCGTTACAGTTTACATCTAGAGTAAGATCTATAACTGAACCAAATTTTGTCGATACCCGCGTGTAGAAACGACGAGAAGTCTCGCCTAGACCACATCTACATTAAGTTTTGGTTTTGTGTCGAGCTAAGCATTTGTTTCGAAGCGCTCAGTTATTATCACTGTGTTATTCCACATAAATTATGCACGTAAAAACGTCACATTTTTCGTCGCTTTTGGAAGGAGAATATAGACTACAAATGATGAGCAATCCAGACATTTATCGCTTTTTCGAAAAACATGTACGGGTCGATGGCCACCACTGGTTGGACAGGCACATGTTTCATCTCGCCATTGGTAACGGTGCAAGTGAACATCATCGCAAAAGCTCACACATACTAGGCACGTCTTTCTCGCTACTAGATTCGGATACCGGTTTTAGGGCAAGTGCTTTACGCAATTCAAGCGGACAAACGTTTCTACCGGTGGTGTCGAAGATACGCCGCATTGCTCTTCTTGGTGGATCGGGCAGACTTCAGCGTTGCAATGTTGTCAAAATTGGGAAAGCATCTTATATAGGAAACTAGTATGTATACGTTTCATTATTTCTCCATTCAATCAGCTGGTTCTCAAGACATTAGCTTTAAGGCTGTTCGCCCACTCGGAGTCTCGATGAGAGAGCTTGTAAAGCATATTCCGAGTCATTTCCAGCACGCCCTGTATATAAGTGACTTCCTCCACTCCGCACAGAGAGGCAGACCAGCTCTATCATCTGTGTTTTTACAGAATGCATGGCGCAAACAATCAACTGGGAAAAATAGGAAGGAGATAACGTTTGAAATGTAGCTACGGGCGGGTGACCAAAATGTAAGGAAATATATATAGACTTCGGTTTAGATAGATACATTTCTTAGCAAAATATGCAGAAACTTGACAATTTCTGTCAAACTGTAACTGGCACAACAGGCTCTTCATATACATCACTTGTGCTAGTCACATGTTGTGCCAGTTACAGCTTTGGCAGAAACGACTAGCTCAAATGATGTGCATGATGTGACATGTTGTGTCAGTTACAGGTTTTGCAGAACTACTAGCATAAGTGATGTACATGATGCCACTAGCTCAAAGTGATGTACATGGCGTCACTAGCTCAAAGTGATGTTTTTCACTTCAGCAATGTTCTCCCTCCCTTTCTCTCTCATTCGACAATTTACAGGCTGAAAGAAATGGTGCTGCTAACACTAATATGCGCGCTGGTGAAAGAAGGAAGAGCTTTTTCTGTGGACATCGACAACAACAAGTCGGTGGGACATTTGAAGGATGCCATTAAAGAGGGTACCTCGGTGATAATCCAAATTCCCGCACGTAAGCTGCAGCTCTTCTTGGCAAAAAGAGACGAGGGCCGCGGCGCGTGGCTGACGGAGACAGAGGTGAAGCAAGGCGCGTGGAGCACCAGTGGTCTGACGCTGTTGGAATATGCGGGAGCGCCACTTAGCGTGGTTGGTTTCACGGAAGAAGCTGTACGAACTCAAGTGACGAAGGAAGATGTTGCAGCCGGAATTGTTCCTGTACACGTGCTAGTGAAACTGCCTGAACCGATCGTGTATGCTGCTTCACTTACAACGAACGTTCAACTTCCTACAACAACTGCATTGAACGAGCCCGAAAAATACGCTGAGGAGTGCATCTCACTGAACGACTGGGATGTTAACGCTGTGCAAAAGATTCCCTCGATCTGGAGATTCATGAGCAGCTTGGGTGGATGCACCCTGAAGGAAGAAATATATTGGCGAATGGAAAATACGCTAATTGTGTCTCTGCTGATGGATGGATGGTTTCGAGAGTCTTCTTCGCTGGCAAACAAGAAGAGTATTATAATAGGCTCGCCGGGTGTTGGCAAGTCGACGCTGTTGTACGTGATGGCTTTCCATCTCGTTTTCAAGCACAAGAAGAATGTGCTGGTGTACCGACGATTGCGTAAAAAAAATCAGGCGGATTGTCTCTTTTATATGGGTTACGAAGATGGCAAGGTTGTGCAGTTTGCAGTGAAGGGATGCGAAGACCGGACTGCGAACGACATATATAAAGAGCTCGTCCGCCAACAGGGCATATCGAACGTATGGCTGTTGTTGGATAAATTTCGATACAAAGATATTCCGGTTAGTTTGACAACGTTCACGTTGCTGGCAACGTCAGAGCGAGTGGACCTAAAATCTGAAGATCAACTTTATGCGCTCTACTGTCTGATGCCTTGTTGGTCACCAACGGATCTCTTTTCGATGTGAGAACTCATCCATAAGTATCATCCTGAGGATATGGATGATCGCTTCTACTACTCTGGCGGAAGTGTGCGCGATTTTACATTGCCTACATGCATGGACATAATCAAGGAAATGGACGATGCGATAAATTGTGTAAAGGACGCCTCGAACTTGCTTAACAGTATAGCCAACATTTCGACGGCGAGATCACAAGTTGATCATTTGCGCCATACATTCTTAAAAAAAACAGAAGACATAGCTCCGCTTTACTCGTCAAGGTGGTGGGATCCGTTCGTATATATCTCGTGTTGGGAAGATATGATTGATTCGGAATATGTTGTGCGTTGTCTCTCAGTGAGACTGCGATCGGGCGCACTGTCTAAAATGTATACGTGGGCGAAAAATAATGGAAACAATTCACTCACCAGTGCCGTTTTTGAGATTCTTCTACATCGCCTGGCTGCCGACAACGATTTGGATCTCTATATTATCGAGTATGATCCGCCAGAAAATGGGTCGCGTCAGCTCAAAATGGAGCGGGTGCACTTGGAAGACCACGATGCAATTTGCTCCGGAAGGGCAGCCGATCCTATGGCCCATCTGACCACATGGAGAGATGATGAAAGGTTCTCGTACTGGTTTCTTGGATTTAACGGTTATCCGGATATCAGCAGCATTGTAAAGCTTAAGTCTACATCCGACAAGAAGGGCAATGTAGCGTATCTTCAATTTACTGTCGCGGCACAGCATGACATTGACGACAACCAGCTGAAAGAAATGAACAAGATTTTTTACCCAGAAGATGTGAAGAGTGCTGGTGATACCGAGCAACCAATTTACATCGCAGTTTGTCCAGATCTTGAATCATGCAAAGCGCTTGTCCTGGATCCAGCAACAGTTTCAGCAGCGAGAGAAGTTTGTCGAGTGTTTGTGGGCTACCCACTGGCATATTAATAAGTTGATAAACGGCTTTCAAACCTATGGCGTGCAATATTGAAGTTGATGGATGATGACAATACGATAAGACCCGTACAAAATTGGTGGCTCAATACATTTTTGCGTCTTGTACAGGTAGCTCTATTGCAATATGTGTTTAAAAAGCATAGGCTTGCACTTTCGATAGGCACAGTTACACCGATAATAAATGTGGTATTGCCGCCGATGGTTCGATAAACGATGTGCTTCCTAATTTGTTTAAACCTAGTTCATCGCACTCTCTTCGAAAGTGACCACGCTTGGAGTAGCAAAAAGTTAGGTCAATATGTAATTTTGCCTGCATAATAATTTGACGTTTCACGTGACTGCATCAGTGTAACAGAGTGAGCCCGTTACATAATATTGACACTTCATAGAAGTGTCAATAAAATACTATTATAACTAATAATATTTGACAATATTATCTTTTCTTATAATATTGTCCCTAAATCTCCTTGAAGTTGGAAATGCCCTCTAATTGGTTGATATGGGCCATCATATCAGCCAACGCGCTGACCAATGACCGATGGACGCGCGCAATGAGTGGAGGGCAAGTTGTCAACATACATAGTTGTAGTTTAATATAGTTAACATAGGTTATAACAGATTAGTTTATTAGATAGCTAGCTATATTATATACAGTTTCTTTTCCTTCTCAACTAAGCGTTTGTTTAGTTGATTGCATTCCTCTGCTCACGTGTACGTAATGTAATTAAGGCACCTACTTTCACTGTCATCATTTCCAGTGAAAAATACTTCCGGAAGCATAGACAAGATAGATTTGTCAGCAACGCTCACGCTAAAGATGGTGCTTTGAGAAGGGACATCGTTATGTACAGGGGAGTATTTGCCTCCTTCAATTGTAGACGGTTGCTTCGAAAAAAGGCTGTCACGTAATACGCGGGCACAACTTCAAGCAGAGCGAGGAAGTCGTTAGACTGTCTTACCTCCGCGTGCGGTGCTGCTGGTGCTGGTCAAGGCTCAAGCGCTGTACCAACCGCTTCTTGTCGCTTTTAAGCGAACCTCGCAACGAGCTATAAACAAGCACCTAATTGCGTCACGGAATCTTTTTAGTCGTCTCGTGCGCAGTGAGTGTTATGTAGTAAATTCAAGACTGACTTATATTCAATAGAAGTTTACTGAATATAAGTTTAACTACTGATTGGCTAATTATGCAAAGATTGGTTACGCGTCTCTTCAAATGCGTATGTTTACGTCCAAGCTTAAAATATATTTAAGCTCGCTGATGAAGCCCGTCTGAAGCGTCACCATGGCGTCCAGTCTCCACTGGGCGTCATCCCCACTGAATGTGAATCCATCCATGGATATCACATTCACGAGGGTGGGTTACATTGATGTGCCTCACCCAAGTGGCAGGCCCAAGATACCTCGTACCCATTTAGGCCTGCCCGTTAAATATACGATACTTGACGAACCGTGCAACTTGTAGCCCGTTACACCATCCCCCTCTTCAAGACGATTTTTACATTTGTCAAACAGCGAATAAAGAGTAATGCCACCGAAACGTGGTAAGGCTGATGGGTCGCATGCAAAGGCGCCCATGCAAACCATCAGAAAGCGCACGTGCCGCGATAACTCGCAGCCGTCGCTAAGTGTCTCTGTGACAACGCCGAAATCTAATGTTAGCTTGCCAGCAAAGAACACTGGTCCATCCCACTATGGTGCAAATGATGACCTGTCCCTCATTGTTGACTACAATGAGAGTACACCATTGCCATCACCCCAAAGTGGTGATGAGCACAGTGCTCTGATGGGACATTTGTCCCCATCATTCGAGACACCAACCTCCAGGAAGCTTCCACGCTTCCTATCATGCCTCGTCGTCTGCGCCAACGAGCACAGCGACCACAACTTAGCGCGCTGTTTCGAATGGAACAGCCGCGACTCCACAGCAGGTTGGAGATACTAAATCGTCCGCCTCTGTTAACCGTACATATGATGTCTTGATAATCCATAATGGAGAGTCAGACTCAGGCGAGGGTGAGCAAAAAGCCCCTTCAACTTCGCACTCGGCTTTACTAGCACGCCGTCTAAAGGGAGGCTACGTGAGTTATGGTTTGCCAGCTATGCCACCGCCATCCGAGTTGTCACGCTGGAGTGTAAAACGTGCGACGCTTTAAAGGCGTGCCACTATTGACGCTAATAAACGATTTAGCGTCTTTTCATCATGTAAAAGGTAGGGCAAAGCACGTGGTCGTGCTTTCCTATCCCCGTCGTGTTGCGTTCAAATGAAACAGCCGACGAATACGAGTCAAAGTTCTTGCGCCGTGTAACTCCTCACGCAAATGCAGTGAAACAGCGGTTGCAGCGAACCATCTTCGCTATGACGCGTGTAAGGGAGATATTGGGTGATAACATACTCCAACTCCTTCTCGCTACGCTGCCCCTGCTAGTCCATCAGGATATAGCAGAGCAAATGCAGCTGATTCTTCTGCTCGTAAGCAGCCGTCAGCTCAGGCACGTCGACGCGCAACGCGTTAATCGGTTCCCACGAGTCGAAGCACTTCGGGTATCCTTTCCACTGGACAAGGATCTGAAGCTTTTTCTTTATATGGCGGTGGCACAACAACCTTCCAACAAGGAAGCGTGTGTTCCCACCCGCATACACCAACACAGTTGGCGACCGATAGGAGCGGCGATTACGCCCAACTATTCTCGGCTGCCTATCCTGTTGTCGTTCAGTAGCAGGCGAAGATCGCTGCACTGAAGAAAGAGGTGGTGGATCTTTCGAGTCAAGTCTGGCATCTGACTTCGGATCTACGTGCGGTGAGTACGAGGGATCGTCAGGGGTACGACCGCCTGAAGCTCCGTTTGAACTTACATGAGCGACTGGTGATGAGAGACCCACGTTAAACGCGGAGTCCTCCTCGATCGCCGAGTCCTCTATCGCCTCGTTCGTATACGGGGAGCCTATCGGCTTCCTCGTCGCCTGACCGGCAACGACGCTCGACTCACAGTCGACGTCACCATCGTTCTCGTTAGACCGATGTGGATATGTGATCTGTTTTGAATCGACATATTGTTTCAGACGACCCACGTAAAATACGGGGTGCGTCTTCATATCCGGTGGGAGAGTGAGCCTATAATGTAGGTCTCCATCCTCTTCAACCACCGTAAATGGCCCAATGAACCGGGGAAATAGCTTAGTAGTACCACCAGGTAGTACAGAAATTGCATGTTTAGGTACGGTAGCAGTACTTGATAGCACTTTGTCTCCAACAAGAAAGTGTTCATTGTTTTTGCGACCATGTAGGTCCGCATATTTTTTTTGCTTGTCCTGTGCGCTTGCAATCGCGTCACGGATCTTACGTGTGATGGCTAATCGCTAATCGCTCATCCACAAAGCGCTGAGCTTCGCTCACGCTTTTAGCATCCAGCTCGCCTATGACGCCTCCAAGAGGTCGATCATGGGTCGACGTTGCTGATGGTACTATAGTGTCATCGTCAAGGAGTATAAGCATTTGTTGACGTGCCTCCTCATTGACACCTATATGTGTCGTGACCACTGTTAAATTGGCAGTGTCACTCGGGCAATTTTGACCCTCTTTGGCTTTCGCACCGAGCGAAGTGAGGGGCCCTCCCCCAATAAGACTAGGGCTGCGTACAAAGAAGAATGGCGTTCGAGGATGAATCAGTCCGTTAATGTAAAACGGTGTTTCACCCGTACTTGCGTGAACACTGTTATTAATAGCGAACTCCACGAATGGAATTGCTTGCTACATTCCTTAGGAGTCGCTACAGTACGCAATACATCCGCCACGACTCGATTGGCTCGTTTCGTTTGGACATCGGTCTGTGGATGATCGGCTGCTGACATGTGGAGCTTGCTCCCTAGCAACTCAAACACATGACGCCAACACCCTGACGTGAAACGCGGATCCCGATCCGATACTATGGAATCAAGCATCCCGTGTAGTCGTTAAACATGATCCAGAAAATAGAGGGCCGCCTCTTTTCCTGAGATCTTGGTGCTACAAGATGCCAAATGTACCATCTTGCTCAGTCTGTCTACAAAGACAACGAGCCCGTCCTGCCTTTATGATCAGGCGGTAAGCCAAACATAAAGATCAACTGAACTACCCATAACATTCTATTGGAATCGGCAGCGGCTTCAATGGCACACTGCTAGAAGGTGCAGGCTTAAGGAACTCTTCGCAAGAGCGAATATAGTTGGCCACCCTGGGGCCACCAAAATTACTCTGACACTCGTAAGAATGTCTTTTCACGGCCGAGATGCCCACTAGATGGCGCATCATGGCACTCGTGAAGTATCACCAGCTTAAGATATGTGTCATGAGGGAAATAGATTCTCAAGGGTTACAGGTTGACAGCTGATGCCATAATAGGTCATCACTGTAGCTAAAGCGATTAATCTTTGCTTTGAGGTGCGACGGAAGGTAAACTTTCGTCCGCCAAATTGATTCAACAGCAGGCGACAGTGTTCGTCCTGACTGTAGCACTCCTTTATATCGGAGGCCATTGGTCTCGTCACATGGAAGGCCTTCGTGTCTGGCTTGCGCGATAACGCGTCAGCCAAGATATTCTACTTACCCGGCTTATATTCAGATTTCATATTAGATTTAGAGAAGAATTTCAGCCATCTCGCCATCCTAAACGAAACGTGCGGTGAATCTATAGCGGTCCGCAGTGATGCGTGATCCGTATAAACCACAAATGGCTCGGTGCCCAAGAGGTGCACTTGAAACTTCACAAGGGCATACTTAATTGAAAGTAGCTCCTTGTCATGCACAGGGTAATTAATATTTGCGGCTTTCAGAAGCTGAGACGGTGCTGACGCATCACGTGAGCCACCACACGGTTGAATGTTGCTGATGCGTTTTTCAGCTCTAAGGGCATCACAAGCCACTCCCACAGCATACCGCTTGGGGTGCTTACTGCCGTTTTGGCTACATCAGTATCTCTCATGAGAACCTGATAGTAGCCATCCTTCAGATCCA